AGTAAATTGACAGTTGCTGTCCGGTGCTGGATCTAATAGTGTTCTAAATCCAGGGGACTGAAACGAACGAAGACTTCCCCCACGAGTTGAAGATACATAATATTTGATTCAAGGTTGATTATTTCACCATAAAACCCGAACACGTGTAAATATACCGATACAATCGTTTGAACGTGATTTGTCAGTACAACCGCCGGGTTCAGTTGACTACGTAGAAAATATAAACGAAAACAAATAGAAACAATTTCTCATATTGAATATGGTTTGTACGAACCAAAAGAATTCATCTCTGGTTGACGGGATGTAGGCCGGATAATGCACTCATGATCATGTAATCGTTCAGATATTGAGCTACATTCAGACCTGCGGCCACAGTGTTTATACAGCCGTCATTAAGCTTGCCTTCCTGTGAATCGATGCCCAAATGACCAATACGTAGCATCACAGTAATGCAGAGACATCAACGCCTGTGGTCGAAAAAAACTGGTTACGTTGTTTACTTTTGGTAGTTCAAAGTGCTCGCTGAACTCAATGGGAAAACGCCGCGTTTGAGGTTGAAACAAAAGCAACGATTCATCCCGTTCGACGACCATATTAACGCGGCATTGATAAAAACAAGCAAAAAAATATCTATTTCAAACAAGCAGCGGGGTTGTGTCAGTGCATTAAACGTTGATAGATCCACCATTAATAAAATTTCGAAGAAAATATTCCAGCAGATTTGAAAACAAGCCTAGAATAATTGTTAAGTCTTTAATCATTCAAACCGGTTAAGGAAAACTAACATTGGCTGAAAAAACAACCCTGTTTATCTAGTTCACTTCGTACTTCAATCTAATGATAGTTGCACACCTACTGGATTATTAGAGACATGGGGTCGACAGTTCAGTTGGGCCTACCCAGATTGATCCAACACAAACAGAAGCAATACATGCATTCACAGTCCCGGTCTGTCTTCCACCACAAATATTCCTCGGACAAGCTGGTTACAATGCGGACTTTACATATCATTTGTATTTCTCCCAAGCACAAGTGTATAACGGGCTTGTTATTACAACTACTAAATTCGTCTCACACTCACAATTACCTGTCTATAATACACTTTATATCGGACTGATCACCGAGTTATTCAGAAGTATCGGACATGCCCTTATTCTGCTTGATTTTCAAGATTTGTTCATCTTAACTTACAGATGTAGGTGGCCTTACAAGTATACATTTTAGAAATGTGAAATAAATTCACCATCGTGAAATTTACGTTACCAGAATAGTGAACTGCGGATGAGTAGAACAATTGGCCTGTTACAAGCTTTTTCTTATGTTTCCTGTCGTATAATATTTAATAAAGGCACCCGAATAAATCCAGTTGTTTAAGAAGCGCCATGACAGTTATCTTGTAGTAACAATTGAATCCCCAAGAACTACCTTGTTTTTCACTGGATGTCAAACAAAGTCACACAACCAATAATAATCCAAAGTTCAAAAATTTGCACCGTGTAGTTCTAGCGAGATTTCAGTCGCACACAGTAACATCGACGACGAAATAAGGTATATAGCTTCAAAGGACGAGGTCTCAATGAATGTAGGGTACAAAAACACTAACCGTAATTTCACGCTACTTCAAACTTGCCCATGTAGAGAAAGGGACAAGCTCAGCAAACCACTCTTTCTTGTGAAACACAAGTCCCTAAATTATGTTGGTTATACGGCATAGAACCACTGCAGGGTGTCTTGCCTCTATCAGTCCTACATTACAATGTATTGGACAGACATAATCTTGAAAACATGTGCTAGCGCCGGCACGAAATGTTGCATGGGGGCAAGATGTGCTTACCATCTCTCGTGCCGAGGGTGCGAATTTACTAGGGAATCAAGGGCATGGGCCCGGAAGATTTTTTATCTAAAACGCTATTTCCTGCATTTTGAGGGTCAAATGTTGCTGACACAAAGGGTTTCAGCTTGATTTGAGGGGACTGCAACGCACGATACT